TATGCTGCATGTGTGCTGTGAAGGTTGGGGAGGCAGAGAAGAATAGGAAATTACCATGGCCTTCGTGTCCAAGACCACGGATTGGAGTCCATTCTCCTTGTAGCAATCCTGGATTTTTTCCATGGCTGCTTTTTCTGGTTCAGTAGCATTGACTTTTTTGAGTGCGAGGTTCAATATTATCTTACTTCTGCTGAGCACTGCACCAAAGACGTCATAAAAAATGGGGCAAGTTTCCACTGAAGACACAAACAGAAAACACCTTAACAAAAGAATCAGACTGGTAGAAGGTTCCTGTTTCCCCACCACTTGAAAGTAAATCGCATATATCCAGTGTCTTCTGACTCACCTTCCGCAGAGACCTGCCCACTCCCAGGACTGCTTACATCCCAGACAGACTGAACATTTTCTATGAGGCACTCTCAGCAGAAGAGAGCAGCACGAGGTACCTGACTGGCACCTCTGGGCATCCCAGCCTGCCTGTTTCTACCTTTCAAATAAGCACCACTACCCCAACTAACTATCCCCTACTGTGTGCACAGCTGATGACCCCTCCATCTCCAAACCTCTCCCTCCATTCAATGACTAAAAACCTCAAGGGGATTCTGCAGGACTCCTGGACAATAATCTCCCAGCTGCCTCCTAACTTTGTGGCTAGAATCTGTTTGGAGATCACCATGGGAGGTGAAGGAGTGAGATAAAGTGGGGCAGGGATGAGGAAGGTCATCTCCTTCCTTCGACTCTCACCCATCTTGATGCCCAACCCATGGGTCACCAGCAATGCCAGCACAAGCAGTGTCCCCTTCATCATGTCAACTGCCAGAATGCTCCACTCAGAACAGGATTTCTGCTGCTTTATAAACTACTAGCTTCCTTAAGCCCAGCCCACACTCCTCCTAGGAGTTCCAAAGTCCTGTGGGCAGGGACCTGGCACATGTGGCTCTGTCAGCCCTTGGGCTGTTAGGAGTGGAAGCCCTTCCTACTCTTGAGGGCCAAGCTCTTGGAGAGGATGTGGTTTTTCCTTTGCCAGAAACCAACTGGAGCTGACATGTCTAAATTATTCCATGCTGAGCCAACTGTTCTGTTGTCCCAGTCCCAGCTGTCACCCCTGTTCCCTACTACTCCTTTCCCCAAACTATCCTGGCTCCAAATGCAATACTCTCCCAAGATAAAGAGATGAAAATCATAGGAGAGGTCACGGACAGGTCTATGCCACTACAGGTAGACAAAAGATCATACCAAAACTATACTTGTGCCCAGGTTTAAGTCCTGTAGATAAGTATGGGGTGCTAGCCCCAACTCAAGCCTCTTGAACACTCTAACTGTTGCAGTTTCTGGACCAAGCCCTGAAAATGGGTGGACACCATCCTTGGGCTCCAAATCACTCCCTACTAGGGGAGTCTCAGGACTCTAGGGCGTGTGGGCTTTTTCAAGGGCTGGTAATGCTCCAGTTTAGGATCATGACACCTGATTCACTCTCACCCTTAAGGGAGAAAATGCCTGGGCACCTTCTTGACTCTAAGTAGCTCCAGCCTTGGCCCTGTATCACCCTCTTCCATCAGTGAACTTAGTCCCAAGAGGAGGTTGGATTTACTAACCCATCCAGAAACATCAGTGAATAGTTGTGGGGTTGTACAGTTTGTCGCCCTTGTCCACTGTGAGCTGGAGCTCTGCAGATCAGGGTGCTAGGTCAACCAGAGGTGCTTAAATTCTCTCAAGAGTTAAACTCAACCTTCTAATCTAGGAAAGTAGTTTATTGGCACAAACAAGGTGAGACAGTCCATGAAAATTCTAGAAGGAAGCTCCCAGTGGCCAAATCTAGAACAAATGAGCAAACAAAAGAAATAACATTGTATTGATTGATAACCTAAAACATAAAATTATATCTGTGAGTCCATACTGATATAAATAATTTAAATAAATAAATAAAGAGATAGGAGACAGATATTCTTTACAGAAACATTCCAGATAATACACATAGATATTCCCCCTTCAGGAGGTGGAACTTTATTGCCTGCCCTCCTTGCAAGTGGATTAGACTTAATAATTCATTTCCAAAGAGTAGGTGGGGAAAAGGGAAAACCATGCACAAACCTGGCAAACTCTACATTAATCAAATGATCAAGGCTGACATAACCAGTGATAAGACATATTACCATGTGACAATATGGCACTTCACCTTTTTGGTGTCTCTCCAAACCCCAAGCCTAAAGTCTGAACCCCAGTCTAAATTATGAGAAAAACAGCAGACAAAGTCAGCCTAGTGGACATTCTGTAATTCTTGGCCAGTCCTCAAAACTGTCAAGGCCATGACAAACAAGGAAAGACTGAGAAACTATCACAGACTAGAAGAGACTGGGAAGACATGACAATTAATGCAGTGTGTGTAGGCTGTGGACTGGATTCTAGAACACAAAGAGGATATTAATGGACAAACTGGTAAAATCTAAATAAAGTCTGGAGTTTAGTTAGTAGTAATATGTCACTGTCAGTTTCTTGGTTTTGACAAATCTTTGCAACTTTTCTGTAAGTCTAGAATTATCCCCAAATAAAAATGCATTTTAAAAAAAACTTGCATTAGGGGCGCCTGGGTGGCTTAGTCGGTTAAGCGTCCGACTTTCACTTAGGTCATGATCTCGCGGTTCGTGGGTTCGAGCCCCGCGTCGGGCTCTGTGCTGACTGCCAGCTCAGAGCCTGGAGCCTGTTTCAGTCTGTGACTCCCTCTCTCTCTGACCCTCCCCTGCTCACGCTGTCTCTCTCTCTCTCCTAGAAATAAATAAAAAACATTAAAAAAAAAAAAGAATTTTAAAAAAAACTTGCATTAGGAAAGGACAGCATATACTGCAAGACCTCATCCAGCAAGTGCCCTTGACCTTTGCAAATGTCCCCATATCTGGAGATATCTCAGATGGATTTGTGGCAGGCACCCAGTGGATCTGCACAGACATCAGTGTCCTAACTGTGTTACTCCAGTACTCCAAAATCTGGCTTCACGATGTCCCAGAGCTGGGCAGAACTTGAAGGAAGTGCCTAGTGAATGACAGCAGACATGTGACCCTTGTCCAGGTGCCCCCCACCACACTGAAATTCTGTCCCAGTAGAGAAAGAGCAAGCATGGCCAGTCTGGGGCATATGATACTCATGTTCCCAAGCTGATAGATGCCCAGGAACCTGTAAGGGACATCTGCAGTGACATGAGCTTGTCATGAGATGACCTTCATGGGTATGACCTCAGGGCATCATGACTGGAGTGGCTCCATGATGGCCATATGACAGCTGGAGCTCAGGACTCGGTGCCTCTGAGCCAAGAGCAGTTACCGGATGTGAATCCTGTTTGGCATAAGGTTCTGATTGGGGTCAGAAAACTTTTGTCTTACCTTCAGCTCTGGGCTCCAGCAAACCTTATTGTGTCCACAGATAACTCAGAGAAAAGGCCAGGCAGGTACCTGCAGCAAGCAAGCATTCAGTAAGAATGTTCTTGGTTATCAGCTCCACAGAAATGAGATATTCCTTTCTTTCATCAACATTTGTTTCTTTCAACAAACATTTGAGAAGCCCCTGCTGCACTTTGGTCCCTCTCCTCATTGTGGGGATACAGCAGCACACACGGCAGATCCCTCACTCTCCTGGAGCTCATTATACATCTAAGAGGGAGTGGAAGATGATCAGCAAATGACAAGGAGTGCTATGGAGGGAGACGAAGTGGGGGAGAACAGCATGTGCTGCTTGTGGGGCGGGGGCAGGGAGCCTTGATAGAAGGGATCAAGCACACGGGAAAGTCTCTCTATTAAGGTGATGTTTGAAGATCCCTGAGAAATTATGCCATGAATCACGTACTTGAAGGAAGAGCGTCCCAGGAAGTGGGGACAGCTCGTGCACAGGCCCTGGCATGGTCAAGAAGCAGAAAGGAGACCAGTGAGGGAGGAGAGAATGCCAGGGATAGATTCAGAAAAGCAGCAGGCCTTTGGTGGGCTGCTGGTTACGCAGAGCACACAGCAGACCCAGGCCACAGAAGTAGCCTGGCTTTTCCTCGGATTGTATCTCCAGAGAGATAATGGTGTGAATAGTATGAACAATATAGAGAAACTCAAAGAAAGAAGATGGTTGGGGGAAAATCGTATTTCTGTGTCTGTCTGAGGTGCTATTAAAGTAACCAAGTGACAGGACTTGGTCAAGAGACAACTGGAACCTGGGCGCCAGCATGTAGGGGAGGATTCAGGGCTCCAGAATCAGATTCAGGAGTGTAGCTCAAGGGAGGCCATTGAGCAGGTCAAGGACACAGATCATGATGAAGGCAGGGCAGGAACCACCGGAAACTGGCCTTCTTTTGGTACTTGCTAGATGTGAGTCCACTAGCTAAGCACTGGGTTTCCTGAAAAATCCATAAGTTGAGACCAGACCATCTTCAAGGTCACATGTAATGACAAGTTGACATTGGCCATCATTTCAGAGGCCTGATTTAGGAGACTTTTTTGCCCTTTTTCCCAGTCAACCTAGGAAATTTCAGTTCTGAAACATCTGGAGTCAGCTGACACTTGGACAGAGCCCTCAAGATGGGGAAGGGCAGCCAAGTTAGTGTCATTTGTTAATTCAGGGACTTAGGATCTTGCCCACACATACATCTCTTCCCTCCACAGCCTCCAGGCAATTCCGAGTTGTGGCCCAGAGAGGCCTGGCAGTGCCTCTTGGGAAAGGATATGTTAGGCGCAGGCCCCTCCCGCCCCACTGTTGGGGCCAACAGCAGGTATAAAAGAGTTCCAGGCTGGGGAGGGAGCACCTGCCACTGCATCATGACGGGGGCTCGTGTTCTCGTGCTTCTCTGGGCTGCTTTGCTCCTAATCGCCAGTGGAAGTAGGTGTCTGGAACATGGGTGTCTGGGGACACAGATTCTCCAGTGGTTCTAACACCTTATCAGGGCGCTTCTGAGCATGGAGGGAAGGGGAAGGGAAGCATGTGTCCTGATGAAGGTCTTTCAAGGGAGTCAGCTTGTCTTTGTGTTCCAGATTGTGAAATTTGCCCAGCCGTGAAGAGGGACGTTGACTTATTTCTGAATGGAACCGTGGATGAATATGTTGAAGAAGTGGCAAAATACAATTCAGAACCAGCTGTATTGGCAAATGCCAGAAATCTGAAGAATTGCATTGATACAAAACTGACAGAAGAGGATAAGGAGCATGTTTTCAGTGTCCTGGTGGGTCTAGCTCTGTGTGTCTGTGCCTCTGGCCCCTGTCTCGGGGGTCTGCTAAGGGCAGTGCAGGACGGGGGGTGCTCACTCTTCCTCTCCACCATGACCCTTCCCTGGGAATCTGGGAGGAGAAGTACCCCATGGATGGGGAAGTAGAGAGGATGGTGCGGGGAAGACAGCCCAGCCCTTGGGCTTTGGGGCTGGCCCAGGCTCTTCAACACTGCAGGGCCGCCAGCTTGTTCCTGGGATCACCTGGCTTCAGCATCAGGCCCTCAGCTTCAGCCTTCCCGACTCCAGCATCTCCAGCACGTGAGACTGCATCTTCCAACGGCACTAGGTCCTTCCTATCCCCAAACATCGGCTCCTTTTATTGTAACTCCTCAAGTTCCATATTCCATCCCCCCTCTCAAACCCTCCTTTGTCTTCATTCCCTGGACCCCAGAGGGCCATTCTGTGCCTCACATACCAAGAGAGAAGAGTGGGGGAGGGGAAGAGAGGGGAGAGGAGAGGAGAGGAGAGGAGAGGAGAGGAGAGGAGAGGCAGCTTCCAAAAGCCCTCCTCCTGCCCTGCCCAGGCCTGAGATGCCCTGGGTGGAGAATCACAGTTAATCCTCTCTCTGCTGCCCCAAAAGTGGAAAGGAGCTACTGCTTCAGCAACAAGTGTCCGGAGGGCAGAAGGAGGAAGCAGGATGGATCAGCTCATTCCTGGAGACTCCCAGGTGCCCACGGGTGCATATGGAGCCCTGCCAGGACCTTCTTGTCAACCTCTTTCTCTCCAAGTTCCATCATTTCTATCCAAGACTGCCCTCCATCCCACCATAGTGACCCCTCTTCTTCACTCTGTTTCACTGGAGGAAGTTTCTAGGCACACCCTGGAATTCTTTTGTTGTGAAGTAGATTGGGAAGAACCACCTTTGCCTGCTCGGATCCAGAAGCCACTCTCCAAACAAGCCTAGAGATTCCTCCCCAGAAAGTGTCCAGTGAGTGCTCAGTAGAGCTTGATGTCTCTCATACCCCTCGAGGTCTCACCAGGTTTCCTGACTTTCTCTCTCTGCAGGAAAAAATATACCAACATCCTCTGTGTTAATGGAGCCATCACTGCCAGGAGCCCTAAGGAAGTCACTGAACTGATCACTAAGTAGTCTCAGCAGTCTGCCATGTCCAGGTGTCTAAGGAGAGGATTCCAGCAATAAAAGCCTTGCAATTCATGGACAGTGCTTGCTTCTTGGGCTGGGCATTGGGGGCGGAGGGGTGTTGCAGCGGGGGACCACCCGTGTGCCTTCCAACTGTGGCTGGATTTGAATGTAGTCAGAAGTCCTTCCTCCAGTGAATTCCAGAGTTGGGGGTAGGAGTGATGATCATTAGAACAGCCAGCATGTCTGAGTACCTCTGTGGACCAGGACCCACAGCTCACATGCGTTATCTTCCAAATTTCAGCCTCCTAGTGACCTTGAGAGATGGGAGTAATCGTCCCAGTCTTACAAGTGAGGAGACTGGGGCCAGAGTGCCTGCCAAAGATTACAGGGCTCCTGGGCGTCAGGACCTGCTGCATCTGCGTGCCCACTGCCGGGAGACGGCTCAGCTCACCGTGTGGCTGTGCCTATGTTAGTCCTTCTCTGAGCCTATGATTCCCACTTATAAAACTAAAACCCCTCCCCTCTCCAGAGCCTCTCTGGTGGGGCCACAGAAAATCATGGGTGAGAAGCAGCCCTGTCCTAAGCACCTGGATGGAGAGAAAGAACAAAGGGTCAAGGTGCAAGTGGTGAACCTGGTCACCTCCTGCAGTTTACCCTAGTGCCAGCCACCTTTTTCCTTTTTTTTTTTTTTTAAGTTTATTCACTTATTTTGAGAGAGAGAGCATGAACAGGGGAGGGGCAGAGAGAGAGAGGGAGAGAATGCCAAGCAGGCTCCATGCTGTTAGTGTGGAGCTCGAACTCCTGAACCATAAGATCACGACCTGAAGTCAAATCAAGAGTCAGATGCCCAACTGACTGAGTCACTGAGGCAACCTTACCTTTTCCTTTTCAATTTGGATGCCTTTTCTTTCTTTTTCTTGCCTGATTGTTCTAAATAGGACTTCTAGTACTCTGTTGAATCAGAGTGGTGAGAGTGAACCCACTTGTCTTGTTCCTGATCTCAGGGGGAAAGCTTTCAACCTTTCACCACTTAGTGTGACATTAGCTGTGTATGTTTATCATATATGGCATTTGTTACAGTGAGGTATGTTCCTTCTATACAGAATTTGTTGAGACTTTTCTTTTTAGAGAGAAAAAGAGCTGGGGCGGGGCAGAGAGAGAGTCAATCTCAAGCAGGCTTCACACTCAGCACAGAGCTGGATGAGGGGCTCAATCCCACGACCTCGAGATCGTGGCTTGAGCTGAAATCAAGAGTTGGACACTCAACCAACTAAGCCACCCAGGTACCCCAAGAGTTTTAATCATGAAAGAATATTGCCTTTGTCAAATGCTTTGTCTGCATCTATTGGGATGATCATATGATTTTTATTTTTCCATTCTATTAATGTGGTGGGCAATAGTGTTAAAGGACCACAATGGAGGAAGACCAGCTAATGGTTCTGCAGTGTAGCCGTGGAGATAAGAGATACACAGATGCTAGTTGAAGCACAGACAGGGTCTGCTATTGAATGCAATATGGACAGAGAATCAAGGATGACTAACACCTTTTGAGCATGAGCAACTGGGTAGATGTTGATCCTTCTACTGAGAAAGGGAAGCAAATCTGGGGCAGGTATCAGGAGCTCCACAGTGGCCTTGTTACATTTAATTGTCTATTAGAAATCCAAGAGGAGATTACAAAGGGGCCATGATATGTTCTAGTCTGGAGCTCACGGGAAAGTCAGGCTAGAGATAAAAATATACGAATTTCAGCATATTATTTGGAGCTGCTAAAATAAGAAGCCATGAGTTATGTAATCCGTGGCAATTAAAATTTGAGTCTTAAGAAAGACTGTAAATTTCAACTAGAAGTTGATGAAAAAAATTAGAATTGTCCTGAGAAGTTTTACAGAAAGAAACTTTTGATATAAGTATTTTGGGAATGCAAAAGCATTTAACATTTGTTTGAATAGATAAGGAAAATGCTAAAAAATGTTTGTCGGTTACCATATGACTACCATTGATCTCTAAGTTGTCATGAAACTGAGTAATTTTTTAAAATGATAATGTCTTGTGGGAGCCCAGTTTAACTGCAATGGTTACTACCCTATTACTCATAACATTACTGTGATGTTCACTGTTCTTGTGGGCAGAGGGAATTTTATTTATTCAGTGTAAGTTTCAGAGAAAATTGAATTTAGGCAATACTTTTATAATATTTACCTTATCACTAGCTAGAGTTCCTATGGTGCACACAGAAATGCATCTTCCATATCCCCATCAAGGAAGAGCTTATCCTTCAACTCTGTGAATGGCTTTTCAACATATCGCTTTTATTTGTCAGTATCTTCAGAGATTACCCTACCTACACAGAGCCTTCCTGTCCAAGGTCATGGTCTTCCAGTGGATTACCCACTGTAATGACTAATCCAAGAAGGTATAAACGTCCTGCCATTTCATTCCAAAGCAGGACAATCATGATGGGTCATTTCAACTTTAGGGCTTCTCAAGGTGTGAAATGAGTCTGTAAGGCCTACATCACCACCTCTCCCTCTACTCAATTTTATTTCTGCCTCTCCCATCCAAAGGCACTTCCTAATAAATATCCTGAATGCTAAATTCTGTCTCAGTCAGTTTAGTAGAGTTCCAAAACTGCAACAGATGGTACCAGGCAGTAAATTGGAATTTTGATGATAAATCATCAACTGCCAGGCTAACAGTGAGGACCCATAGCTGATGGGAGGTGGAACAAAGATAATCTCTGAAAAAATTGTTAAAACTTTCACTGATGGTGAATTGGATGCTATGCCAGTAGAAGCTAATGCACTAGTTGGTGCCAAGTATCAAGAGTCGAAACTCTAGGGGAAGTAATAACTATAAGGGAAATGGGATTAGATGGCTATTGCTGAACTCTTTTGTATGTCAAGGAACATATAAGGAAAGGCTGAGAGTGATTAACAGTCAACTGAATGCCAAATGGAAAAGCCAGGGGGCCTCTCTGGTAGTTGTGGTGGGAGAACAGAGAAAGCTGAAGACCAGATCCAAAACTTAACCATCAGAGTGGCCAAGCTCCAAAGAAAGTTAACAAACTTAAGGCAGATCTGCTAGGCCAAGGCCAGAATATGACAGGAAAAAAGGGGGCCCTCAACCTTGAAATTATGGGAACATCTAGATTAATCTATTCCCAAATCTGGAAATCTCAGGGTTTTTTTTTTTTAATTTTTATTTATTTTTGAGAGAGAGTGCATGAGCAGGGGAGAGGCAGACAGAGAGGGAGACAGAGGATTCGAAGCAGGCTCTGCACTGACTCTGCACTGACAGCAGTGAGCCCGAGGCAGGACTCAAACTCATGAGATCATGACCTGAGCCAAAGTCAGGCACTCAGTTGACTAAGCCACCCAAGCGTCCCTGGAATTCTCAGGTTTTCCTGAGCCCTCTGAGTCCAGAGAGTGGGCCACTCTGCTTTATTAAGAGCTCCCCCTTCTTAAAGACAATAAAGCAGTCCCTTCTCTGCAAGGCAAAATGTGTATCCCACAGGATCTGCCTCACCATACTTCCTGTCCATGAGACTCAGGTTACAACATAACCCAGCCAGGGATGTGCTGTGTGTGATAAGGTAGGAAAGGTGCTGTACTCCAAAGGACCTACCAGACACAGCCAACATGTACTAGAAGGGGCCAGAAAATCCACATGGGACTGTATTCTAAAGGTGGATGATCAAGGGAGCCAGAACAGAAGATTGGATAAGGAAGAATTCATTAATTTGGGGGCCCTCTCCAGACATACACGATTGAATACCCAACAAGGACAACACCAGACAATGAAAACTGACACACTATTAGGATGACTCTTAGAAGAATGGGAAAAGGAGTAGCCCAAGCTAAATTAGAGTTCCAGAATTGTCATGGAGGGTGGTAGACTCAGGGAAGTGGACATGCTGGAGTGGATTATACTAATTCTAGATATGCAAGGCTAGAAAATGCACCAGATGATCATATTCCATGGGGAGGGTGAGTCCACCATTCACCAAGGCCAAAAGGAATAAGTTTGTAAAAGGGGCGCTCACATCACTGAAATGTTAAGTGGTGGCTCTCCTATCTAGAGGCCAGGGTTGATCATAGGAGAGACCTTTATAGAATTAAGCTCACTGATAGAAGTGAGTGAATACAAAAGAGGCCAGGTGAAGGCACCAAACTATCAGAAGTGAAGTGGATGCAACTACCCTAATAAGCAGCAAGGTTGGAAAGGCAGCCAATGGGTCTTGATCCACAAAAAGTTACAGAGATGATAAATAGGACACAGCCACTCCTAAGGGGGAAATGAATGGGATGTTGACAAGGGTACTACTCAACTTCTACCAGCAGAAAAAATCAAAGATAGATGTCCAGGCATCTGGCAACAGTCACCTAAGTAAAAAACCATAATCCTTTACACTGTTTCTCAATCTGAGCCAGTTTTCTGGCCCAGATCCCCAAGAGGAAAGATCCTACAATTATAATCTAGCAATTATATATAGAAATAATTCCTCAACTTCTTCCCAAAAGAGACCTATGACATTTATTCTGGTAACTGTACCCTGTTGGAAAGGGAAACATCTAAGTATTTCAAGGATTATTAGACACAGAATCTAAGTTGACACTGATACCTGAGACTCAGAGTGTCATGGGGCTGCCCTGTTAGAATGGAACCATATGAAAAACAAGGAATAAATGGAGTTCCGGTTCTGGTCCAGTCTGCGATGGCACCACTGGATCTAAAAAACCACCTGATGGACAGGTCTCCAGCCCCAGAGTGTATCCTTGGGATAAGATACTTGATAGTTGCTGCTACCCTCACTTTGGGTCCTTGATCTGTGAGATAAAAGCTATCATATGAGGGAAGACCAAGAAGACTCTGATAGAACATTGGAACAGTCTGCTGAATGCACAGCTACAGTGCCAGCTCCAGGGTGGTAGGTGAAAAAAACAGTATTCCATCCTCCAGGATGCACTATGCACATTAAATAAGAAACCTTTGTATGGCACTATGTCTCTGTATTGGTCTCCTATTGCTGCTATGACAAACTATCACAAATTCACTGACGTAAAACAAGA